TACATTTTAGTAGACTTAATTGAGTTCTCTGGGACACTAATTGTATCCTGTAGTTATTTTCAGTGTAGTTCTCTAAATCTGATCTCTGTTACATACCATAAACACAGGCATTGGTACGGGAATGCAGTGAGACCATGCCTAAATGTTTGTTTTCCCTTACACAATCCTTTTCTTCTAAGAAATTGTGTAAGTGGGTGGGCTGTAGCAATGTCTGTCTTTTGGCAGGGCAAAATAAATGTTAACTTGGGTTAAGTACAGTAATTTTACTATGAAAAGATAATGGCAAAAACAGTATATGCCGCATAAGCAGTGGTACTGTGTAGCTTCTTGGAAGTGGTATGGTGGTTATGATGGTGTGGTGGTTTTCTGATTGCATGCAATGGATCTATTGGTCCTCTCAAAAAAAAAGAAAAAAACCAAAAAAAAAACCCCAAAAACCAAAACACTTATGCTTTAGGTTCCGTATAATCTTGTAGCTTCAGCTCATTTCCCATCCTAGCCACCCCTTCCCACTTAAAAAAAAAAAGGGGGGCAAAACAAACAACAGCAACAATATTTTAGACATCTCCTGTTGATAATAACTTCCAAATGGAAATCAGTTGCAGCTGGTTCTTCGCACTTTAACCCTTTGTCTGCTGGCCTTCCAGGAAATAACTGATGACTGATTGGCCCATTAACCTTTTTTTAAAAAAAAAAGTTTGACAGCCTGGACTTGTGTAATGAGGAGGGATTCCTAGTGAAATCAGGTTGATGGCTGAGTCGCTTGCCCCTGAGGATGCAAAATTAGCCCCGTGGGACCTCGTCTGCATAGAAACTGGACACAATTAGTGTAATATCCAGTGTTATTAATGTAGTTTGGAGTAATTGGGCAGGTTGATTTCGACAGGTTGATAGTGCTAAAATACTATTATAGTGGACCTTTCTACGAATAACTGTTAAACATGGAAAACTGTTTAATAAAATTTTGTGATTGGGCTCACAGGGATTTAAATAGCACAACCTACAATTTTTTCTGAAGAGTAAAACTGAACAATTCTATTCTGCTGCCTGGATTTTCCTGTTCGTGTATGCAGTGATTAAGGACGTACACATTTGCTACTCTTCTTTTGTAGGCATTGCCCTGTGGGTGATGTGGAGCAGGCGTTGCTGCTTTGTTTCACAGTTGCACTTACCAAAAAAAAATTGGCGTATTTAAGCAGAAAATGTATTATTGAACACATCTTCAACTGGCACAGTTGCTTTTCATCTGAGCTCTTTAGGGAGTAAACCTGAAGCGTCACTGGATGTAAGAGTGTGCAAACTTGTATGTTCTTAATATATCATCAGTGATGACCAAGCTAATTTACTGATGAACTGGAAATGTCCGTCCAGCTCAGCCTTAAAACACACTGCAGCCCTCACAACCCGTGGTGGGGCCATACCAGGACAGACTCACCCGCATGTTATGTGGACTTTGCGATCCCAAGCCACAAAGGCTGTGCAAGGTCTATACAGCTTTTGTCACGGTGTCAGATAGTCACAGCAGAAAGGTCAGGAGATGAAACACGGGAGCCTCTCCTTTGGGAAAAGGAGACTTGGCGTATAAAAGAGCGACCACGGGAAATGGCTGGAGGTGTTTCCTGAATTGCATTCCAGTCGCCTGAATAGCCGTGTTTGTGTCCTCTGCCATAGGTCTCCCACAAGGAGGGGAATAACTTCGTGTAGTGTTTCTGGAAAACGAAGCTTGCAGAGGTACCAGTGCAAGGACAGTATTTCAACCTCTCTTTTAAATGGTGCGCTGGCTGAATTGCAGAGTTTATTTCTTGTATAAGCCCTTCTTGGGCAAACCAGCTTCATGTATATGATGATGATTACTGGCAAACAGGATATAGGAGGACTCGATGCTGCATCCTGATTGTATATATTTCTTTTAAGATCTGGAATTGTAATGCTGGAAAGTCACCTAGTACTTCAATGCTGGCATGAACCAATACAGGATCAGTGCAGAGAGACTCTCTAACGTTATGCCGTGTATACTTGTTGAGAATTAGTTACGTACCACATATACTTGTGGAGTTGTTATGCATTGAGAAGTCAGCCCTGCCATCTGAGCTGGAGAAATCTCCTCTCGTTGTGCTCTTCTGTGTCTTTGCATCCCTACAGGGCCTCCTCGCTGCTTGAAAAGGAGTTGTGGGAAATTTTTAACTTGAGGTGGCAAGGTGACTGTTTTCTCTAGTAGGCAGCTCCTTCAACTTATACCAAGCCTTTGGCCTACACAGAAGTGGTACGGTGTATGGTCAGGGGAGAGAGGTGCAGGGAAAATACGATGCGGCCTGGAGCAGAGCTGCAAGTGGAAAAGGGAAGGGCTGAGTGAGAAGGGCACGAGGTGCGGAAAATGGAGTGAGGCTGAAGAGGGCCTTTGCGTTTCTGCATTTTGCAGGATCCCTGCCATAACAATACGTGTGTCTCAATACCACCCATGCTGAGTAATTTATATAGAAGGATTTTCTGAACATTTAGTGACCATCATTTGGAAATCCTCCCTTAGTAAGACTTCAGCAGTACAAAGTTTTATTGCTTAGAAGCCACTGAAAAGCCTAAAAATGATGAATTTCCTAAATTCAACTCTCCAGGGGGCTGCTTCAGGTGGGATTCAGTTTATGTTCTCTTCCTTCACTATCATTCCCTGTTCTCGTCAATATTTGCATAACTCTGCATAAGCCAGTACCCTCCCCACTGACTGTATGCCATACCGCTACCACGTAGGCGGAAGACCACAGCTGTGTTGTCCTACAGGAGGCAGCGCACAGGACTGAACGTCATTTCCTTTATTGTTGAGTAGTTCCTTTACATTTTCCTCGTAAACTTTTGAAAGCTCTGTTTGATAAATGTGGCTTTTTCCATGATTTAATCATAGCAGTTTGGATAACGAGTCTACCCATTTTTAACATGGTGTTCCTAAAATGGAAAAGTAGTTATAGCTGTACAGTTGTATCGTTTCTCTTGTATTTGTTTTCCTGCTTATCCCACACACTATTTCTTTAGTAAAACTGCTGCTTCAGGTGCCCTCATGCACCTGGAAATAACCTTCACCTCCGTATTTATTCTCACCTCAAGGTGCAAAGTAACCTACTATTTTTGAGACTTCATTAAAGCAGTGTAGGCACTGGCCTTGCTAGCTTGGAGTTTATCAAAGAAAACCAGTTATCCTACAGGTTGGGAAAATGACTGCCAGTGAGCAGCAGTACTGTCTTTCGAGCTAGCGCTAGATTTGTCACTTATCTTTGCATGCTTATGGATGACAAGGTAATGCAGGAGTTTCATGGCTCTGAATATATAATAAGTCATTAGCAGACAAGCGAATGTAAATGCTCTTTCTAAAGCCCATTATAGCTGATGTTCACTAGAACTTTGTGCTCTATTATTCTGTTCCTTTCATGCTTCATGCCTGCCCTTCCCAATTCCACTCGCTGTTTCAGCTTCCTTGATTTTTTTTTTTTTTTAATTTGACTTTTGTGTCCCATGTGTAGCTGGAGTGTGTGTCCATTTAGTTCAGTTCTGCTGGTATTTTCATACGCTGCGGTCCTCTGGCCTGAATACTTGTCCTTATACTCTAGTAGCCCTAAGGATATTTCATTGACCCTTTCTGCTAGCTTCTTAGATCATTTTCTCATCTCCTGTGTTGAACGTGAATGTTGAATAGGTTGAACTTATTTTAATCCTGTATTATAACCCAATGTATTTATGCTGTAGACAAGAAAATGTACACATCCACTTTTAATACATCTGTACATGTAAACAAGTGCTTGAAGGAAGATGGTAAATTGTCAAATTTTCTGTATTGTCAGCTCTTTATAGTCCATTCATCTTTTAAGTTATTTTGTGACACACTTTGGTTTTTACATTATGTAGCTCTTAGCACCTCAGGTTTAAATCTAAATAATGCTTGTTTAGTCACTTTATGTTCAAGAAAGGTATAAACTCGATACCAAACTCACAAATGCACACAGGAACTGAGTATATACCCAAAACAGTACTTTATCTACATAACATTTGGAGAGAAAAAGCAGGGGAACCGCAGGTCATTTTCTGACGCATTGTGCAACTGCAGTGTAGTTGGATACATCTGGCCTCCAACCTCAAATGTCCAGACCTGTGCTTGCTTTTTACATTGCAGAAATGCTCATCGACCAAAATTGTTTAGGCCTAGCTATCAATATCCTTAAATTTGAACTTCTCTTCCTATTGCATGTTTTTTCCAGAACAAGAAGATAACTTTGAGTTTATCATTGTCTCTCTCACCGGCCAGACTTGGCACTTTGAAGCTACCACATATGAAGAAAGAGATGCGTGGGTACAAGCCATAGAGAGTCAGATCTTGGCCAGTTTACAGTCATGTGAGAGCAGCAAGAACAAGGTATGGTACACAGAGTAATACTGAAAATTGTTGATTGAGCTTTAAAAGGAATGCAAAATCAAGAACTTCGAATTTTAAACCTGTATTCCTAGAGATGTGCAGATATTAGGCACGTGACAGAGCAGCATTAGAGCTGCATGCATAACTCGGATACTTCAAGACAGCTGGTGCTGTAGCCTGTTTTACAGTTTATTTTTTACAGCAATTGAATTAGTGGAGCTTCTGTTTTGTCTTTTTTACCTTTGGTATTGCTCTTAAAATTTTGACTGAAACTTGGGGCTAGGTCATGGACTCTCCCTACTGAGAAGTTGTATAGTGTAGTCACTGCTGCAGACTCAGGTTTGTTTCAGGTCTGCAGAAGGCCCTTGAGGAAAAGCCTGTCTTCGAGAAGAGTGCAGACAGACCCAAAAAACAGCTTATTTACTAGTCAAACCTCTAGTTAAATCTACTAATCTCCTACATGGCAAAATTTTAACTAAATGTTCTGGTTGGCTTGACCATAAATGTGCAGTAGCATTCATCTGTAGGACTCTGCTGTGATGAAGTAATGCAAATCACAGAAATCAAAATTAAGGTGTTGCTTTTGTGTCTATTGCTTTACAAAGCATATGCACAATTTTTCTTTAATTACACTGAATAATTTTTTTATGGTTTTCTGCCTTAACTAATATAGCAGAAAGCAGATCCAGAAACAGTTCATCAGTGCTTTTTGGGGAAAGATGAACATCATCTAAGAGATACAGGCCTTCTACCTTGCAACACTTTCATATCATGACAGAAGTAATTTGTCTCCTTTCCTGTCAAAATAAATAAATAAGTGTTTAAAATCTGAGACTTCTTCAGCCATTGCTCATTTTTGGAAGGGCAAGAGAACTTTTGCTTCTTGAGTCTCTGTGTCTGCAAACACTTCACAACCAGAGAGCAAGGTGTTGAGTGGTAGTGGAGGGAGAGAAATGAGGAGTAATTATTCAGACATATAGATCCTTTAACATTATCCACCTAACAGATGTCTTTAATGATTTTATCTTTTGAAATTAATGCCTGCTTTCATTGCCCTGATCTACCAGAGTAGATCAGACAGCAGTAATTACAATCATCCTAATATAATCTACTTCCCATTTCGTTTAAAAAAATACGTTTTTTTCCAACATGTATTTCTGAGATAGAAAAAAATGACTGTTTATATGATTTTTTGCCTTTCATGGATTTACACATTATGTATGTTAAGGGAGCACAATAAAGGAAATGTGTACACTAACACCTATATAAAAATATTAATACAGAAGAGGGTAAAGAGTGGCTGGTAATATTCGCTATGCAGTACCCACAGAGATTGACCTTTGTGTATATTAAATATTCTTTTGAAAAGGAGAATCCATTGATAAGATTATGCATGTACAGGGAGCTTTTTGGGTTATATATTCAACCTGCCACAATGCTTAGAGAGGTTTTTTCCTCTAAAGTATTACTGAGGTCTCAAAACATGTCAGAAAAACTAACTGGAATAGCAAAGTGTAGTTAGTTGGACAGGTTTAGTAGGTGTCCGGTTGATAGATCAGGAGGACAAATCTCCACATGGCCATACTTAAGACCTGGTCCTCATCCTGCTCAAATCAATTCACTGCAAAGAGTCCATCACTTAGCTACAGCTAAGAGATTTCTTAGCAAACCCACAAGTTGGTTTACTTGGGTAGAGCTGAACTACTTGTACATCGTGACAGTCTCTCCAGGTCCAAGTAGAGGTCATTGATGGGTTATCATGGAGAGAATTTAAATGGGAGCCGTCTGATTAAATCTGACCTTTTGATGATAAAAAGGTTTCAGTTGCTTTTGCAAACCATCCCTTAGTCTTCATTAGCAAAAGCATAAACATCAATAAAATAAATTGATTTTATAAAATAATATTATCTAATTTATCTCAAGAAGTAAACCTACACTGTGACCACTTTACTTGTGAATAGTAGGGTTCATTTTGAAGCTCAGTTTTCTTCTGCACAGTCTCCCCATTTGTTAGAAACAGGAGTCCCTGCTTGGCAGATGTGGACTTGCAGTACTTGGAGATGCCAAATGAGCACCATTTCCTTTGGAAACCCAAGGACTTGGGTTCCTTGATCACATTCATTCAACCTTGGTCTAAGCTTTGGGTTTTGCCATTCATTCAGCTGACAGTTGTGTCATCTAACCCTTTTTATTGGGTTCTTATTTGTTGCTGATGCATTTCTTTAAATCTGTGCAGTCCCGCCTGACGAGTCAGAATGAGGCCATGGCCCTTCAGTCCATAAGGAACATCAGAGGCAATTCCCACTGCGTGGACTGTGACGCACAGAGTAAGTATGGCTGCTTGGCTTCAGAAAATTGATGACTTCTCCTTCTTGGCCAAGACTACTTCTTAGACGAGACTTAGATAAATGCCTGCCATAGGCTTTGTCTTTTTCAGTATTATGTTCCATATGTTGCTTGAATGTTTCTTCTTCATTATGGAGTTTGGTTAATCAGACTTATTTTATGTTAATCCATATTTCATATATGCTGTGTCAGATGCCTCCTAATTTTTTTCCCCTTGTTGTTTCACATGCCACTTTAAACGTTAACATTTCTTATTTTCCTTTGAAGAAAAGGAAAAAGAAGTTTGCTGTTTGACATCAGTTACTTCCATTTTCCTCCTGTTTTGTGTGGAGAGGGCACGTGTGGCATGGTAATATTTTCGAAGAGGTAGAGCTTGATTGGCTTTTTTTTTTTTGTTTGGTTTTTTTAGGGTTACTTGTCAGAAGAAACCAAAGTCATTGCTCATTATATCTGGATACTAGAAAACTGATTTGGGATTTTTTTTTCTCCCCTTTGTGTTTCTTTCCCTTTTTTTATTTTTTAAAACATACTTGGTGTTCAGAAAAGTGTTCTTGAGAATACTTTGAGCTGTGGTTCACCTCACTAACCCCAGCTGAGGTCATTATTCTGGTGCTCTTTAGTTCCAGGGGTTTGCAACAAAGCCACAAAAAGGAAGTACTCTTGCTCTAAAGCAATTAGTTGTAGAAGCAGAAAGATTGAGAACTTGTGCATTTTTATTTCTTTGATAGTTGAAAGTCTGAACTTTTCTTGTGATTTTTACATGTGCTTAAAATGAAAAAATATTCATTTATTTTTCTGTGGGTATAATTTTTTTTTAAGACGATGTTCAGGATTTGTCCACTGGTCTAAGACATTAGTTAACTTTAAAATGAATGTTCATTTGGAAGTGCAAGTGCTTTTGCATGACTGATTTTCTATCTATATAGTTAGCAATTTAGCTGATTCAGTCATACACCAAACAAATCTATTACCCCTGCCTCATCCTCAGAAGGCTTGAAGGGAAGGTGATTAGCACATTAACAGCCATTTAAAATAAAATATATTTTTCCATACCATCAAAATGTGCTTCACATACAGACTGGTTTTAATTGCTTCTTTTGAAAACTGTCAGGTATTCGTATGATGTCCATAGGAGATGTGTCAAGAACAAAGGCAGCTGCCCTGTCCCCGGAAATTCAGCACGCAGGGATGCGAGTCCTGGTTGGACCAGGCTTTGAGCACCTGGACTGGGATGCTGTCAAAACAGCTTGTTGACCTGCTGGAGGGAGATCCCAAAGAGAGATTTCACAGGGACTTTTCACAGACAGAGAGAAATAATAGCAACATGGATAAATTAAGGTCTTTATATTCTACTGGCTAGCAATCCAGCAGGTGATAAACAAGGGAGAACGTTGGTTTGGCTGGTATTTTAACATATAGGGCCCAAAGTGACTCCTGTTTATTAGTGTTCTTTCATACTGACCTGGTAGTCATTCAGATTTATGCCACAGCTTTGATATAGTTCAAGTAAAAGGCATGTAAGATGCTGTGCTGTATATGAGAAGGACGGGGTCTTCAAGTGACACAGATGTATATTTAGCTCATTTGAAGTACTGCTGTCTGTGAGCAGAGCGCAATGGGACTGTTACTGATTCCTGCTCCGGTCTGCCTGTACAGCTGTGGGTGGCATTTTCCCAGACCCTGCTTAAGTGGTCACCCAGGCAGAGTGGGAACGTGCAATCTCTTCACTGCAGACAACTTCCCACACCCACGCGTGCCCTTTCAGTGTACCCATGATCCGTTCAGCTCTACCCAGAGTCCACGCTATCCCCAAGGGGTGCATTTCTCTCCCCAGGCTTGCACGTACCCTAGTATTTATGCAGCCAAGCTGACGTTTAATCAGGAAAATAATTGTGCAAGAAAGCAGCACTTCTTTTTTTTTTCTCCTTTCAGCCAGGTTGTTTTTCATCCAGATTGCTTCATGGGTCAAGCTGGCCACACATGCAAGGTGCCAGCAGAAGGGATGTGCCAAGAACATGTTGCTGAAAGAGGGCAGGGTGGGACTGCCCTTTTTGGCAACATTCCGTGCTTAGTTGTGTAGCTTTTGGAGGGGGGCGGGGGGTGAGTTTGGAATCTCAGCTGGAACCTCTCTTAATTGTTTGTGTTCTTGGAGAGGATTTAAACCCTCTTAGACTCTTCTTGCCACTTGGCCTTCCTAATTTTAAGGCCACCATCTTTCCTTTTGAAAGATTTGAGATATTTCCAAAGCAATGTATCTAAAAATGTAAACATGCACATGAGTTGAACGTCAGCCTGCTGCTTTTTTTGCCAGGCTTTGCTTTATTTCCTTCTCTCCCTTTCTGCCTTGCCTGGGCAAGTCCTTGCCCCGGAGCATTTAGCATCACAAACACCAGCGCTCTTGTGGAAAGCTTACATAGTTTGCATCTTCACAAAGCCAGATGTTTGGGAGCAAAGGAATATGAGATGTTGCTGTCCCTCAGCTCTATTCAAGAGCCATCAATCTTCCACTTCAGAAGTCTCATTCTTCCTCTTTCTAGAGCTCTTTACCTTTTTAGCACTTCATCACAGCACTTTGTTTCACCAGGGAATTTGTTGCCTGTTAATCAGCAGCAGTAGTACCAGCAGCATCTGTGTCCCACCAGCCTTCTGGCCCTTTGGCAGTCTCAGACTAAAGTTTCTAAGCCCTTGTTTTTTAACATTCCCATCGCGGAGCAATAGATGAGGCGAAGTGCTCTTTAGGTGCTGGAGTTTTTGCCCATGATGATGTCATTTCATGTTTCAGAAAGATAGTGATGTTGCTTTTTTCCTAGGGCATTGGAGTCCCAGTGCTGACTTGTCTGGAGAAGGCACTGAAGGTGATCAAATAGCTTAGGCAAACCCAGCTAAATTCCTGCCCGTGAAGGATTTTAGTTCTTCCAGTCTTACTGCTTAAAGAGGAGATGAGAGGGTAAATATGAGAGAGTCACTCTTTCAAGATACCTGGAGAGCGTGGAATATCATGTCTTTTCTGTTGTAGAAGAGAACAGGAGGGCTTAAAGAGGGAGTCTCATCATGATTTTTCCAGCCCAGGAGTCTAATAACTTACTATGGTGTGTTTGTATTTGAGAGCCAAACACTGAAGTAATGATTCGGATGACCCCGGGAAGCCTATCAAACCCATCACAAGATTCAATTTTATATTCAGAACAGGAAAAAAAAGAATAGAAAAGATGTAAACTTCTTCTCTTTTGCTGCTGCAACTCTTTGCAAGTTGCCTTTGCCCCCCTGCTTTTCCTTCTTTCCCTGGTTCTTCTGCTCCTCACTGCTCCTCTTCTCAGTCCAGCACTATCTTCCGCATGCTGAACTCATCAGGATTTAGCATGGCAAAGCCTTTCATCAGCAACCTTGTGTCCAAAGGGATGAAGGAGATGATGGGGAGGGGTTACTCTCTTAAAAGAGCTGTTCCAAGAGCTTTCACCTTCCAATGATCAATCCGATTGAGATGCAAGTCAAAGTGGGAAGGAGGGTTGGAGAGGACAAGAGAATGAAACACCTTTAAGGATATGGGCAGCTTAAAATTGTAACCTAGGAATATTCAGTGATGTTTAAAAGGTCATATTTTGTTTGACAAATTGTAAGTAAAACAAAGAAAGGAAACTAGCTTTATAGCATCCGTAGCTGCATTGAATGGGCTTTTCCCCTCTTTTACCATCATTTGCATGTATACATACTGGAGAAAAGCCTGCCATGTGCTTGTAAGTATTCTGAACATCCTCCAATTCAGAATTAAAAAAAAGGAAAAAATCAGCCTGAATAGTTATGGCTTACTGACCATGTGTGGTTCTTTTCAGTATAAATCAGTGGTAAGAAATTTGAAGCATGAGATTTGAAAAGTGCTCAACTACATACGGGAAGAGGAAAGTGCAGACAGGAGCAGTGAACTGAAAACAGGGACATCCCTGAGCATGTAATTTACAACAGCTTGCCTGTATTGGTGGGTAGTGACTTCTGTCATCTAACATACCTCCTTTCGAGAACAATTTCTCATGTGCATGCGCTGAAACAGATGTCACAAGTGACATCATGTCAGTTTTTTCCCAGAATCCATTGAACGATGTCATTTGTCCAATCTCCTGATTAGAGCCCTGTCTTGTTCTATGTTATCCTCTTGTAACCAAGATCAACAAGACTGGTTTTTCACTGGTTGTCTCTGATGAGTTCAACACTTGCCTTTCCTGGTTTGCCACCTTCAAACTCAGTTGTGTGTTGACAGATTATTGAAATTTAAAGTACTGTCTTGACAAAATTATATGTAACTTCTTGGTTATTGCTTTGGTGGACTTGAATCGTACCAGCACTGTCAGTTGGAAGTAGGTGAATATTTCTAGAAAAATACTCAGTAAAAGATATGCTAGATATGCTTCAAGCACACAGAGGTATGGGGGGAGGAAGGTCATGCCCTTAACATCAGTTCTGTTAGAAGGATTTGAAAAATATTAATCAGTATTTTTTCTCTTGCTTCATTCTGAGTTCCTGCTTCTTTGAACTCATTGCACTTTTTATTTTTGTGAAGATAACCCTGGCCTTTGCAGGTCAGGGAGAGAGATTTCATTTTAAGATAGTTTGCAAATTTTAAATTATTATCTTCTTTGTTTAAGCTTTTACTGACAAATTAGTATTTTGGATTTTTAGTGTGTTTCAAATATAATACTGGTTCCCCCACTGGCAAGACACGAAACTTAACTGGTGGAGGTGACCTGAAGAAATATGCAGGAAAGGAGTTTATCATGGTTGTCTTACCAAGGACTTGGAAAGTATGGAAGGAGTTTTGTCTCACCTTATTTTTTTGAGATCTGAAATGCTGTCTATTCCTGGTATGGACTTGGTATGGACTTGGTATGGACAGGAACTTTTTTAAAAGGTCTGGTTTTCTGCTCAAGTGAAGTAAGGTGGGGAATTTTTCTTGGGGATATTGTTAGATGTCTAACGACTGACTGAAAAATGTCAGTCAGTGCCTTCAGTGAAACGTAGGACTTTGCCATTCAAATTGTCTGCTTTCCTTTCATGTTTTCTGTCCAAACATGGCATGGCAAAGAACTAGGAAACTTCCACATATTTTAGCTGCCAAAAATAACTTTTCAATTTTGGATTACATTAAATAAATATTTGGATGAAATTTCCTTGAATGGAAGGGGACACTGGAAATTCATTTTATTTAGATTTGAAAAATAATTGCCTGCCCTCTCCATTAATCACCCATTTTCCTGCTTGGCATTTGAGATAGCCTACTTTGGGAGGCCCAGGGTAAGGCAAGAAGAAAAGATCTGACAGCAGGGGGGAGAAAAAAAAGCCACCAAAAATTCCTCCGATACATCTTTCATTGCATTTGTTAAAATGAATGTTTGTTGGAGAGAGGGAGATTCATTCAAAACTAGATTTAAATAACACAGGACACTGACAAAAAAGTGAACCATCTTGGGAAATGACTTTGAATTTCCCGGCTTTTGTCAGGTTTGTCACAGCCTTATCGTTTGCGGGGTTATTTTGTGTGTGTGTGTCGGTCGAATCCCTGGCTCGTACACTAAAACTGGGGCTGTTCAAAGTACCACATTTTCATCTTGGTACTTATCTCCCTGATCTTAGAGATGAAAACATACCCCATAGTGTGTTAGATGTAAAAGCCATATGTAGGTGATGATATAGATGGTTATTAAGGGAGTTGATATAGTTAGCAACAGAGACATTGTATCTAGTCACTCTTTTTATTTTTTTTTTCTCCTTTTTCCCTTGTAATTGGCTATGAGTGGCTCTAGATTCCCAAGGAGGGGCTTTCTCCACTACTTCATCATCAGCTGCCTGCCACTGCATTTATATTTTCTTTGTTTCTTCTTTGCTCTCTAATTCATATTTTTCTTTTGACTGAAGGTGGAATGATACATCTTTTGAGACACTCCTCTCCACAATTTTTACTCCTTGAAGGTTTCTCAGAAGGGTTAGTATCTCCACAGGGCAAAATTGACCCTTCTGGAAGACCTTCCAACTATGCTTTTGGACAGGACGCCTGCATTTTTTTTCCCCCAGAGCCAAAATCTTTATCCACAAACATTAACTAGAAAGTTTTGTTAAGTGCTTTGTTGTACTCATTGCTTGTGTCCCTTTTCCTGTAGACCCTGACTGGGCCAGCTTGAATCTGGGAGCTCTCATATGTATCGAATGCTCAGGTATACACCGGAACCTTGGCACACACCTCTCCCGGGTCCGCTCTCTTGACCTGGATGACTGGCCTATAGAGCTCATCAAGGTGATGTCTTCTATCGGGAACGAGCTGGCAAACAGTGTCTGGGAGGAGAGCAGCCAAGGCCATATGAAACCTTCGTCAGACTCCACAAGGTAGGCTTTCCTACTCCATCTCACCATGGCATGCAGTGGGCAGGTAATATGTGATACTTGCACATGGCTGAGGCTGTAAGCTATGAGCACATAAATCCTCATTTTGGCATTGCAGTCAGAGGTGGTAGGGCGTTACAACATTTAAAAATACGGACTTTTAAAATTCTCCCTTGGAGTAAGCCTTGTAAAAATCGTGACATATATATCTTCACTGCATGCCCAGGAAGAACGTGTGTCAAAGGGGGAGGCTGGGGGGAGGTGCAAAAGTTGAGTGACCCTGTTACTTTTTCATTCTTGCGAAGGTTTCCTCAGGAGCTCTACAATTTTTTTGTTCAATTGACTGACCGGCAGAACAGCGGGAGATTGAAACCTCCCACCTGGTTGTTCCTCAATTTAAATTACACTGTAATGTGTTTCTTTGTTTTGGTCAGCCACAAAGTTCCTGGCTCTTGGATTATCAATTTGTGATTAATAATCTGCCTTCAGTAGTTCAAGCTTACCCAGCAATTTGTATCTGGCCGTCAAGTCTTTGGGCTCTCATCATGGATGTCAAAAGTCCTGCTCACTGTGGACTTGTTATTTTTTTATGTGATATATGTGAAGGTGTAAATTGATAGGGGAGTGGGTGTTTCCTCTGAGGACAGTATTTTACCTACCAGTCATAGCTCAGCACAGTGAATAATCTTCTATCTGCAATGCATTGTCCTACCAAAAGCTAAAGGGTTTTTATGCTTAATTTATCTGATTGCAGTCAAAGGAGGAAGATGTTCTGAAAATACAAAATGTAAGTGCTAATAGTTATAACCAAGGTATTGGCTTGGAGGAAGCAGAGTGACCTCTGGCAGACTGCATTTCAGCAGGGGAGCTCAGACAGGAGAAGGACCTTCTGGACTACCTTGCACAGCTGGGCCAGTCTTTGAGGTTGCCTTCAGAAGTGCGTTATAATTGTCTTAGGGTGAGCTCCAGGGGGGCAGCCTGCATCCAAGCCCTGGTCGGTCCCCAGATAGCGAAACGGCCTGATGGAGGTTTAGCTCTCAGTGTTTGCCTCCTGCATATGAAAGAAATCAGAGGGAGTTATATTCTGATTTTGTTTATGTGTATTTCTTGATCCAGCTTTTTCCAGTACTGGAGCAAGTGAAATTATAATCTGGGAGCATATACCTGGGCCACCTCCCACAGTGTAGGAGTAGGTTTGTGCTGTTCTCCGTAATAAAGTCAACTGTTTCTTATTGCATTATTTCGTTAGCACTGAAAAATGAATTTGTGGTGCCACCTTTGGTTCATCTTCGAGAATGAAGCCAGTACATTAATCAGGCTACTTAGATGAATGTCTATGCATATAAAATTGTTGAGGGAGACCTACACAGAGATTTTGTTCATACATAAACTGTATGTCTGCTGTATACATGTGTATTATTAGACAGCTAGCATAATGATTTCATCAGGTAGATTGAAATCAACTTATTGCCGCCTTTCAGTCATTAGCATTACAGTGTAAGATCCAGAGATCTTACATTGTTGCAACTAAAAAACGTGTTGCTCCTTACTACTGAGGTGAGCTGGAGAGATGCCTCAATTCTAAATACTTTTAAAAGGAAAAGGCATACACTCAATTAGATTTTTTTTAATATATTATTTTGGTGTACCTATAATAAAGATATTACCATGAAAAATCTAAAATACACGTGACTGATGAAAAGAGACCCATCCATTTGAATTAAATTATTTGGGTTTTTATGTTTGGAAGTGAGTTTTACTTATAGAAAATCAACTTTTTTCTCTGTATTTCATGCTCAGAGCTTATTCTAGTTCTTCTGTCTTTCCATGAATCTTTGTGTTTATGTTCAGCTGTTTATGTTTGTCAGTGACATAATTGCACTTTTTTTTCTGGACTCTTAACATTTTTGAGCAAAAGGTATAAAGATTCATTTTATAAATATGCATTGCCATCTGCATGTTCAAGTGCACACCTACATGATGGAAGAAAAAGTAGAATTAAGATTATGTGCAAGTTTTCCTGCAAAGCAATTGTAATTTGCAGCGGGGACAGAAGTGATATTTTTCACATAAATACCTGCTTGCTTTGCTACTCCCGTTTTTTCTGCTGTTTGCAGCAGGGACAGAAGTGATATTTTTCACATAAATACCTGAAATGTCTGCTTTTTGAAAGTGTGTGCCTCCATTTGCACTTTACTTTGGTCTCTACTAGCATCATAATCCTTCTGTCCAAGATGTAGCAAGAAGATAAGTTCAGGTTCTTTAGACAGAAGTTATGTATTCCATTTTCTCACTACTGTTTGCAGTTTTGCATGAGGAATCATATCAGAAGCAGCTACAATGGGCCTGAAGTGGGGTTAAACAAACCCCCCTTTTTTTGTTGTTGAGGGCCTGAAGGTGGAAGAGGCAACTGAAGTTGAGGGCCTGGGGGAAGGAGGCAAGAAAGTAAGCAAGTAGAAAGATGACTGGGGAACTGAGATTTGGAGTTCCGGTGGAGGAGGGATGGAGGGAGTCCAAGGATATTTGGAGACGGGGAAGAAAGAATCATTCAGGCAAACTTCTTCTGAAGGGGAAAAGAGCTGATGGCCAGTGTTGGGGGGCTGTTCCTGCCCATGCTGGTGGGCTCTGGGGTCAGCTGGAGTCTGAGTCCTCTGCTATATACAGAGGTTTACACACATAACATGCTCCTGCTTCAATGAGTTCTCACCAAAACCCCATCAAATGGGAGAGGGAAGTACTCCCATGTTTTCTTCCAAGTTTCTCCTGAACTTGCTCATACCCCAGTTCCCTTCTGCAGCCCCTCTTACTACATGTGTCCCATGTAGCGCTCCCATTTTCAGTTCATTACATATACTCATTAATCCACCCTCCATGGCTTTCCACATGTTTGCTCAGACCCTCAGGCTGTGCCTGCAAGCAAAGTGTTGGAAACACAAGAACAGAAGATTTCTTAACCATTCTACCAGCTGATTCAAAGGCTTAGCACAAAACATAAGACCTTAGAAAAATACGGTCCTGTCACATGTCAGCACAATGATGGACTCTCTGTTAGTAGACATTTGTAGAGGGGATCAGATGTACACAGGTTTCACCATTTCATGTTGCGACTTTCTATTGGAGATGAAGCCATCAGTGGAAACCCACGGGCTTTCTAGGGGCAAAAAAAGGATTATTGACTGCTCCACAAATACTTAATCTGTTGAGCCAGGAGGCTCGAGGAGCATTCACATGCTGGACCAAAAGGAACCTGGAAATCTTGACATGGCTTCCAAAGCAGTCCCTTCAGCTTGGGAGAAATCAGCACTGATCACTGAATCATTGCAGTGGCATCCCATGTTGAGTAGAGTGAAGGGTGGAGAGACCCAGGGAGACCGAAGTTTTCCAAGAAGGATCGCCAAATGGCCACACAGTAATTAAAGAGTCTTACCCCAGGAAAATGTCACCAATATTTATAAAAATAGAAATATGCCAGGCTTTGGGTACATATTGCATTTTTTATTTTGTACACTCAAAAATTAGTTAAATATTATCAAACTTAAACCACTTCAAACATACCATACTGCTGTCCTTTCCTAGCCCACTCTAATTCACTTAAAACTCTTTCTCCAAGAAAGTCATGGGGAAAGATAAACCTGAAACTGTATTTTGAAGGTCAGAAAGGGTCTCAGATTGGAGGGTATGATCTCAAAGCCTGAGAGTTTTGTAGCAAACGGTATTACTCCTGTTACTTTCATCAGGGATATCTTGCCTAGGTATGTCCTGTAATGTTAACACGTGCCAGGTCTCATCAAGTCTGAAAGGCAGCTTATAAAATAAGCAGATCTCTAGGTCATTCGGTGTCTCTGGATCAAAAACAACACCTTGGATGGCCTCTAGCATTAAACTGGAAGGCAGCGCAGGTTATGGGAGCACAGGTGCAATGGGATCCCCCAAGAAGCAGCGTAGAGTAAAGCAGGAGCATGAGGCAAAGTTCAGACTGAGGGTGTTGGTGTGATTACGGGGAGGAAAGAGGAATAAACATGAGCTCCTGGTGAGCACAAAAAGTTGGTGAAGCAGCAAGAAAGCCCAAGCACAGGCAAACACGTGCACGTGGAAGGGAAAGGGGACCAGCAGGCCTCTGAGTGGTGGTGTCCATGGGTCCCTGATTAGGTCAGCTTTGGAAGGCTGGTAATTGGTTCCAGCAATTACCAGCAGCCCTGAGAACCGCTGCTCAAACTTCGGGAGCCCTGTGACAAATTGAAGCTGACTGCTGGTGAAGGAGTATCGACTTCCCATTTCTAAACAGGGGGATCATTAGTCAAGAAAAGCATCTTTTAATTACTCGCAGGAAGGGGGGGGGGAAAGGAGGAAAAAAAGAAAAAGATCTTTCAGTATGGATCCTGTAACAACTGCCATTTTTTTTCCAAGTGTATTCAATATTAAATTTATTGTCTTGGAGGGGAGGGGGTGAGCAGGGAGAGCTTGTCTGTGGTCCCTCCTTCGGTAATGCAGGTTTAATTTGGAGTGAGAAGTCAAATTAGAGTAAATCAATGTTGCGACAATTAACTGGGACTAGGGATGAGATCAGGATTTTCCCCTCTAATTGCTATTGATACTATTTAAGCACACTCTTAAAACATTGATTTGGAGTGATGTGGCACAGGAGTAGCCCAGTGGGGCAGGGGCAGAACTGCTCCATGGAGGAATGTCGGAGATGTGGTGAAGCCAGCTTGGGGAGTCTGTGCCATGTTTCGCCTGGGCCTTTTGCAGTGGCATATAGGTCTCCTACCAGGTATTTAGCTTTCTTCTGGACACAGCTCACATGCTTTGCTTTCTCCAAGTACTATTCTTGCCCGTGCGGCTTCTGGTTTTTAGACTTGCCACCATAGAATTCCTAAGATGTTGGCCTTTTCCAAATGAGATGAGTTGCCACCATCCCTCTGCCTGCTCCAGGAGGTGATTATCTGCTGCCTGGCCCTTACCCTCTTTCTCTGAGCTCCCAAGGTCCCCACCTCTGTCTCTCT